ATGTATCAATTGAAGACACGATCCAGATCACACCCAGCCAGTCAGCCACTGGTAACGCCTGCATCTTTTTCTTACAGTGTTCAGTGAAAATATCTCAATGCATCGCAATATTTCAAGTATCATGATGCATCGTGATAGAATTGCATCGTGGCATGTGAATCGTGATTTGAATCGAATCCTGACTTCTTTGCCAATACCCACCCCTAATGTACTTACCTATTTTTTTTAGGCTTTGCAGGAGGAATTTACTGAATTTGAATCTTCACAGGAGGAATCAGAGTATTACATCACCAGGGTTAAACAATCGGCGGCTTAACTAAAGTGGATTTTAACTTCCTAATCTCCAGCACTGCCTTCTGCTCAGATAGCTATTCGAGTCATAGAGGGTAACAGTTTTAACTTGGATTTGGGAGATGAAGTGACAACCTGTTCAAGATGGTGGTTTTTAGGGGCTTAGAGGTGATTTTCCACAGATTCTTTTCCATGCATTGCTTTCAGGGACACATTTGTTGATGCACTGGATTTCCATGGCAGGTTTTTTATCTAGAGATCTGTTTTTCTTCAAATGTTCACCTTTAATGTAAACTATATTATCAGTTGGAGCCTTTACAAACCCCCAAAACTCTACAGGATCAAGCAAGAGCAGCAGATGTATCAACACATATACTGTAGATGAGGAAATCAATCAATATTTTATGTCAGTTACATATTTAAAAACTTCTCAGTCCTTGTTTTACCAATTATTTGTTCAGATGTATTTGGGAAAATTTAGAAGGGAGAGAAAATGATGCATAAAATTGGGTAAAATAAACAACTTTTGTATAAATAATGTAGCCATCCATAGTTTCCCCACTTTCCTAAATGGGTCCTTGGCTGGTTCCCTACAATTCCCTTTTAAACATCAATATTTACACTAAAATATTCTTTCTGTCATGATTTATGGACATTAAGATCTACTCAGAAGCATCATCTCTTGGTCAGAGCCTGTAATTCAGTGAAAGGGTGGAGTCAGAGTAAAAGAAATATACAAGAGGGGGGTCCCTTTTTTTTTGTTACATTTCTGTCTCTTTTAACCCACCTTACTTTTATCTTTTTAAATATTTATGTGTCTCTTGTGCTTCTTCTTTTATTTTTTATCTGTGATTTGTGAAATGTGAACATGTGTGTGAAAGGTGTACTACTACTGCACAAAATTGCCCATACTGGGACAAAGAAAAGCTACTGAACTGAACTCCAGTGGCTGGAAGTTGGAGGGGATTTTGCTGGGAGTTGAAGGGCCATTTTGAATGGCTGCTACTGTACATTTGAATTGCTACAAATAATGTGTTGTAAATTAGCATAAAATTCGGAAATAAACCTATTTTCTACCGTTATGGATTTAACTAAATACCTTAATGATAGAGTCGTCGATCTTATACCAGGTCCAGACGGGGTGAGGGTATCCCACAGACTTGCAGTAGAGAACAGCGCGTTCGCCCTCGTTCTTATTCTCACTGCGCTTATGGCCGGTAATCAGGGGAGCAGCTGAAACAAAGAAAATCATTTGGATATTTTTTAAAGAAAGAAAAAATATTTCTTTCTTTTCAGATAAATCTTGGAGTGATATCAAACCAAAAAAGACCCAAAGAAGAATGACAAAAGTAATGGCACCGGTTTACCAGTTCAGTTTACCCAAACATCCACATTATGTAAATCTATGCAAACATATTTAACCTCTGCTTACTAGAAATTCTAATTAAAGGGCATTTGTGACTCTTTCAACCTTTTCAAATTCAATTCTTTACAGACTTAGGCCCCGTCCACACGAAGCCGAACCCTGGCCTAAACGCACAAATTTTTCACCAAACCAGCCTCTCATCCATACGAAGCCGGCGTTTCGGGGGTCTGTAAACGATCTTTTTTTTATTTAGCCTTCAGAGTGGGAAGATTTTGAAACGCCGTTTTCGCGTTTCCATATTTAAGCTCTAACCGTTTTTTTTTTTTTTTTT